ATGGCAGATTCCATAGACCTTGATCCCTGTCTTTTACTGTCTCTACTCTCAACCCTTTCAACATCTCCAAAGGTCAAGGGTCAAGTACAGGTCTCCCAAAGGGCAGCCGGTTCCCAGTCATAAATGGAAGGCATATGATCGAGAGCACTAGCTTCCAGGGATATGATATGAATTCTGAAGTTTCAATTCCCTTGGTCCCACACTATTAAGAATGGAGGTGGGCAACCCATGGATGACAGAGACGGAGGTTTGTAGGTTGGTAAGTGTGTCCCAGCAGACGGTCTGTCTGATGTTATTAAGTGTGATGGGTTTCCTTCGCTCATCCTCGTTCCTTTGGCCCAATATCTACCAGAGGTGAGACATTCTCATCTTGCAGGGAACCCCCCCCCCCCCTCCTTATTCAGCTCTTCTGTCAAAATAATCACGCTCGACCTTTGCCTCAAAAATTAAGTGTGACCAACATAAGCCTTATAAATGTATTTACAATAATTGAATTGTTTCCAAACGAGATCCTTCTCATTCTTGTCAATGAAATTGTGTTTGATGCCAGGCCTGGGTCGCTCACCCCCCCCCCCCCCCCCCCCCACTCCCCATTACCCCATCACTAAACCATGAGCCAAGAGAGTTTGACTTTATTCTAAATAATATAAACTCAATCTAATTGACACACCTTTAACTTAAGAGGGAAAACATACCGTGAAGCCACAATTAGGCAAAAACAAAAGCAAAATTGTAATTGTCACATTGTGTATCCTCCTAAAAACTACAATGTGCAATCTCCTAAAGTTTAGACCTGGCTTGATATCCATCCTCCTGCCAAACATTATTAGATCACAATGGCTGTACATCTGTCGCAGAATATTGACCAAAGAGGTTTTCTTTACTTCACTTTATACTGCGTACTATCTCGCCTTTCCTTCTAATTTGTTTGATGGTTTTCCTCACATCTTAAAGGTAAAGACCAGTTATGGTCATGCGATTGCATTGTGAAAGAAACGTTGTGGAATCGATCAGAAAAGGTTGATCATCTAGCATCTAGCATCTGCAAGGTTCTGGAATCATCAAAATGATAAGAAATTTGTCCCATTCTTCGTAAAGTTACAAGCACTATACACAGAAAGTATACGGGACTACCCTATATCTCTCACGGACCATGAGAGAAACAAATTTGTCAAATATATGAATTATTAGGCGGTTTCCCGGCAAATTTTTTATCATCATGTATTGGTCAAAACATATTCTTTCACATGATTGGTAATGAGAGCTTCCATTTCATTTTTTGAAATTGGGGCGTTTCCAATACTGGTCTTTACCTTTAATAACAACCTGGTCTTTTTTCATCTTTAGCTTCCATCAAACACCTCAAAACTAGGGAAGCAAAGCTTTCTTATCTAAACATCGGTTTTCCGTCACAAAAGTTCAGGCAAGTGAGCTTGATGTACAAGGCTGTTCATAGTTTGTTGCCAAATATAACTCATTTAAAATTGTGTATTTGTAACATTACATAAAGGAGAAAAAATGCTTTAACTTACAGGACACAGTCACACAATATTGTTAACAGCTAGTCAGTATTATAAATTCAAATCCTCACTCATAATTTCCATAATGCAATAGGGCCTGTCTAAATATGGCATTCATCAACTCCATCATTGTCATAGAATGATAGATTAGCCTAGATTCATTTTACTTAGCTGAGTTATTTTACTTGATCATACGCATCTATCGTCAGTTTCCTCCCTCCATCCATCTTTATCATTTCTTAGGAATAATGAAAATGGTTCTGTTCCTTTCACAGCTTTTATCCATCACACTAGATTAAATCAGTGATTTAATACAACATTTATACAATGTTAATTTGCAGATTACAGATTAAAAGTAGAGTGCGTGTTTGAGAAGCAAAATTTGCACAATTAAAGACACACAAGTGCACAACTTCATGAGAAAGAAATGTGGAAGTCTTTTGACATATTTTTGAAATATTAAAAAGGAAGACGTTGTGATGAGCAAATATTGAATTTTGGTGGCAACTAACGGAGTTATACATGTAAATTTGCATAAATTGAACTACCTTTTGACTGAACGGGGTATAGAGCTGCCTCAGGTCTGGACGGAACCCTCCTCTTAAAGAAGTTTGAAAAGTCCGCACCAAATGCGGATCCATGTGATGCTGACATCATTCACATCAACTTTAAACTTAAACCGGATTAATACATGACTCAATCCAAACTCGATCCTCTTTGAACCATTAATATGAAAGAGGTGTTGGCTTCAGGCACACCCAAAGACAAAACCTGATCATGACTTTAACTTTTTTATTCCCCTGTTGTAGAAAGATGGAATGCGGACATCCAAGTGTCAGGTTGATGAATTCGAGCCACAATTCATGAATTTCAATTCAATTTTGTCTCCAAGCTACAACCCCGCTCTACAAACTCTCAAATGCTATCTTCTCACTCGCTGCGGCGTCATCTGAATCGCAAATTTGAAACTCATCCGTAACTGCTCCTCTATTTATTGCTCGAGTTTCCGCTAAATGAATATCCCCTTGCACTATATGTCTATCCTACGCTAAAAACACCTACAGAATGGTCACTTGTTTAAGGTCAATACAAACCACCATGAAAAACAACAATTCCAGATTGAATGTAAAAAGAAGCAAGATTTCAATTAAGTTGTAATTACTCTCTCAAGAAATCTGGAAAATATTCAATAAAATAATTCATTCCCATGTAGAGAACTCGATTATGATATTCTAAATTGGTGACATTAAAATTATTTTCATTTTCCCCTTGGTCAATGCCAATTTGATTGATGTTTGCAAATTGTATTTTCTTCGCAACTATATTGTTTTGTTTTTTTCTTATCCCCACTGAAAACAACAAAACAAACATCCACTATTTGGTATTCTTCATCATATGCAAAACGTCAGGAAAAACTTATTTTTCTGCTCACCTAATATGGAAAAAAAAAAAAAAATTACATTTTCCAGACGCCGCAAAAGACGGATACGCTTTAATACCATGAACAATCAAGTCCAGGAATACATGTCGAACACTGACTGCATAACATTAAAAACTAATATTACATGCACATATTTTTATCTGATGGAGAATCATAATCTCTTTTTGTTATTCAAACGGTTGCGTTCAAAGCCCTGTACATCCATCAAGTTTGATTTACAGGGATCTCTAATTCAATTCGCTGACAAGCCAGTTGACACGGGGTGACCCGACTCTTGTAACTACACAATAACTGTCAATGTATACAGCCACAGGCATCCCCTGTTTAACAAGGCAAATTGAACGATACTACCAGCTGTTACAGAATAGGGAGTTGTGTACAAGACTAACGGTGGGGACGTCAGATGGGCGCTAAATTAGGCAAGGATTTGCAGAACGAACGGAAAGAATGCGTGTAATACATGCCCATTAATGGAAATGATGATTGTGAGGGAGACGGTGAGGAATAGGGTATAAATGGGATCATCTGGATGAGAAGTATTCAGTAATTTTACAACTCTAAAAAGAGGCTAAGACATGTTGGAGCCCCATGCAAATGAATATTCTCATCTCAGTACGTGGGCTTTTGGTACCTACATGTACATGTATCTCTTTTTGCTTTGAAATGAGGAGCTGGAACTTTTAACATTTACAATATATCTAGATTTGCAAAGATTTTGTTAATTTGGGGCACTCTCTTTCTCCCTTCTCTCTCTCCCTTTTCCTCACACCCTCCCCCTCCCTTGCTTACCCCTCCTCACTCACCATCCCCTCCCTCCCCCTCTTTCCCCCTCCTCCACCTCTCTCCCTCCTCTTGTCTCCCTCCTCCCTCCTCCCTCCCTCCCTCCCTACTCCTTCCTCCTCCCTCCTCCTCTCTCCCTCCTTCTGCCCCTCCCTCACTCCCTCCCTTCCTCCGTCCCTCCCTCCCATCCTCCCTCCTTCCCATCCTCCCTCCCTCCCTCCCTCCTTCTGCCCCTCCCTCCCTCCCTCCCTCCTTCTGCCCCTCCCTCCTCCTCCCTCCTCCCCCTCCTTCCCACTCTCCTTCCCTCCCTCCCTCTTCCACCACCTCCCTCGTTCCATCCACCACCTTCTAGTATTTACCTATGTACATGCATCCTCCTTAGGCACGGTGTTGGAATAATAAAGCTTTAGCAACAGATGTACCCTCCGAGGGAGAAACTAAAATAGATCACGATAGATGGAGAATTACCTATCTGGACAATCGTATCTGGGTTGTGAGAAAGGCGCATGCCCCAGGGTCTCATCCCTTTATTGACTGCAGTCTACTGGGTTCTACCTGTTTGCAGGTGATTGCGGGCATTTCCGTAAACATCAGAAGACATGATGTTCCAACAATTTTGAAAGTTTCAAATGCTGTAAGAGGTGGAAAAGTGCACCAGCAAAATGAGATTAGGCTCTGGGATTGCAGCTTTTGTTTTTCTCAATATTTCTATAAGCAAAGCAGCATTAGAATGACACAAACCAATACCTACAGTAGAAGTTGGAGGGCAAATCATAATGTCTTATTTCTGTATTCTTTGTACAAGATCCTCTGACCGCAAAAGACAAGTTATTACCAATACCATACAGCATGAGATTTCTTCCTACAGTACTTGTACTTGTGGGCCATGCTGATTTCCCATTCCTGTAGGTAACTGTGAAACTGTAAGCTGCATACTCTGTTGATACATGTATATCTGTAACATAATCATTGTGTCAATATATGATTATATAAAACATCAATGAGGAAATGACATCACTAACAAACTCTAGTCTAAGGCCCACAAGTAAATAAAAACTTGATCTCTACATTTAGACTTGTTCTAAAAGTCAAGTTTAATGAGGGTGTCCAACGAAGGTCCAAGTTTTCTCCTATTTAAACTTGAAAGACCGATCTTAAACCTATCATCGACCCCAATTCAGCGTTATTGTTAAAGAGCCTTTCTGGTTCACTTTAAAATTAAGATATGGCTTGTCCGAGGCTTAAATTTCTGCACTCACCACTCAATCTTTCCCAATCTTTGAAGCTTTTCTCACCAGTCAAATGACCGTAATCCCAACTTGTGGCTCATTCAAGGCACAAACCATAGCAAGTCCAAGACATCTTCTTTCCAACAAAAAAAGACGAGACACACAAAAAAGAACACTTCCTCCTCATCAAGCCTCCTTTCTCACCTGTAAATACTGTAATCCCAACTTGTGGCTCATTCAAGGCACAAACGATAGCAAGTCCAAAACATCCTCTTCTTTAAAAAAGAAAGACTGAGATACACAAAAAAGGACACTTCTCCCTCATCAAGCCTTTCTTGAGAACTAAAACTCCTGCTGTAATTATCTTCTAAGGGTCACAACTACAGCCTAAGTTTGTCTTTGTGTGAGTTATTAAGTCATGGATGACGGTAGATAATGAGATAGTAGGATAAGAAAAGAAAAGAAAAGGTATTTTGAGTGGATGAATAATAAGGGGTCCAGGAGTCAATATTGACAATGGCAGTGAATGGACCATAAAGTAAAGGATCAAGTCTTGAGCTTTTAATAGGAAATGGATGTTGGACAAGACCATAAAGGTGTTTGTGTGTATAAAACTGGAGATGGTGGGTTGGAATGCTTTTAACTGTACAGGCATATTCACCAAGTAGTTCTAAGACATTACATGAAGGCATGCAGTCACTTAATTCTTAAATTTGTTCTCTTTTTAGGGGGGGGGTATTTATGCTCATTAGAATAGATAATAACATCTCGTTAATGAATGGGCCTACAAGTAAATAATTTACGCCATGTACAGTATCATGCCCAGTAATGAACTGGGCAATAAGTTTCAATAGACAGAATGTTGATTGAGCACAATGGCTGTTGCTATGTCAGACAAACTACAGGTATAATGTTTGTAGATGGTTATATAAGGTGGTCTTAGACCAAATGATCTCTTTCTGACTAATATATAGTAGCCCTACTATATAAACCACGGTCCTACGTATACTACATTATGTACTACACAGTACATATCGGGCCATGTTTTGCTTCTCTACCTCTGTGTCTATTCGTTCTCTTCCTCTCTATCTGTTTCTCTCTTTATCTGCCTTTTACTGCTGTATGTCTTTCCGCCCATCCCCATTCATCCTTCAATCTCTATCTCTCCCTCTCTCTCCCTCTCTCTCTCTCTCTCTCTCTCTCTCTCTCTCACTCACTGTCCATCAATCACCTCCCACCTCCCTCCTCCCTCCTCCCTCCTCCCTCCTCCTCTCCTTCCTCTTCCCCTCCCTCTATCATTCACACTCTACCCTCTCTTCCTTCCATCTCTCTCACCATCCCACCCGCTGCATATGAAAGTCTCTGTCAAATAATTATCTGATTGCGTTACATCACTAAAACAAACTTTATCTGTGTTGACATCTCTCCAGATTACGTTGATGACACATTAGTTCTATAAATATTGAAACTACTGATATGCTAATGACTCCTGGGTTTAATGGACTCGCACTGTTGTATATCAAGAATTCAAAATAGAAGGAAGGGGAATAAAATGATAAAATGCAAAGCAGCACATTTTTAATAGAAAACATCTGTTTAAAGCCAGAAGGGAGCTAACTCGATAACTTTAACACATAATTAACCCTCCTCTGGCTCTAAACATTTTAAATTTCAATAACTCGTACCTGTTTTCACGAAGTGAAGAAAATCTGCACGCAAATTGTATGCGATTTTCATTCACTAACGTCACTTCGTGAAAATAGGGACAAATTGTTCAGTCCTGTGTAATAAAATAAAAAATGCCTGAATACTTTATGACAATGAGCCTAAAATATCAAGCTAACATGGAATTATTGGTTGTACATATATATAGGCACCATGGGAAGCAATTCATGAACTTAATGTATTCATTGCAAATTTGACCTTTCATGGTACTTTTAATAGTTCATGATGTTGATGTGTATTGCATTTGAAAAACAAAAACAAAATTACAACAGCCATTTTACATGTTCAATAGGCACCATGGGAAGCAATATCATGAACACAATGTATTCATTTGCAAATTACCCAGTAGACCTTCAAGTATATTTTTAATAGGTCATGATGTCAATGTGTGTATTGTATTTGAACAACAAAAGGCCAAGGCAATGCCATTGTTAATTGATTGGAAGACATGGTTCACTTTGCGCTACAATTACAAACCATTTATAATGGGCAATGGCTACATGTCAATTGGCAATTCTCACAAAACAAATTATGGAGAGCAATGTATAATGTATTATTCTTAACACATGCAATGTCATTTTATTTCAGTAATAACATTAAAAAGAGGAGTGTACTCCCCCCCCCCCCCCCCCAACAGCAACAAAAAGAATGGCAAAGTTATAGCAATAACAAGAAACTCTTGACACACCCATATTAGTTACTCTTGCATCATTAATACAGGCATGCACTAGTCCTATCACCACTGATAATCATTTTAGTCACAACTACAGTAGTTGACATGCTTTCTTACACATTTGATAAGGCTATATATTACCCAGACTTTAATTCATATAATTATTTAAAGAACTTTGAATTAACCTATATAACTAACTACTATACCTTCTGCATTCTGGTCTCATTTATTTGTGCCACTGCCAAGTATATGTATATTTGATATTTCACTGTGTCATTATGTAACACACAATACATGTGCAGTGCATTGTGCAGGACCTGGGAAATGGACTATACATGTATATGTATATTTACAGCGCATCTGATTTCATAATTAATCACGATGCCGTATTGAGCCCAAACGGCCAGACATTCGAGTGTCCAAATCAACTCTAGAATGAATCACAACCCTACACAACGTCACGTAGAGGGCACAGTAATTGAAAAATCCATTTTTCATCACCGCTCCACCAACAAATCAATATTTCATTACCATTTTGCGGGTCTGCGGTACTTTAAATTTCATGGTCCGTCTGTATGGCATAAAAGGCTAAAGCCAACACCATGCCAAGTTTAATGTGCGGGTCGCTTTCAGGGTATGTGTGCATTGTACCTGTGGCATCCTAGGACCTCATAAACCTATATTCTTAGCAAAGCCAAAAATCAGAGCATTTTCATTTTTGTTATCCTATTTAATTGAATCTTGGACTACAAGGATATGTGCACTCAATACTCCTAAATGGTACTGATGTATTCAAGTTATACTATAGGTATTGAAATATATAAAGCTAGCTCATGTAGATGCATTAGAAAATAGGAAAAGATTAAATGCTTTTTTTGCAGCATTTCATTTTCCTGAAGCAGGCCTTATTGACCAAAAGCTCTTTTTTGTGTTTTGAACATGAAATTCTAACAAATTGGGAAGATTTGGGGTGCGATTTAAATAGCTCATTAGCATTGAGATTATTTTCGTTTAAATCTTTAAATAACATAGGTTATTTACAGTGCACTTTGTAATTGAACACAGTTCAGTCACTGAGATTCTAGTGCATTTATGCATTAATTATTAAAACCAGTGTGAATGGGCACAAATGAAAGTGAGAATTGAATCGTGAATTAAATCGTGAATTGAATCGTGATTCAGATCTCCCATTCTCTTGTGTGCAAATGGCTCTTGTGTGTTCACATCTACTGCAGACATATGGCAGACTAGCATACAAGGTTGGAATACATGTAGCATATGTCACTCCTTCTGCCCCCCCCCCCCCCCCCCTCCTCCCTCTTTGTTATGCCAGACTAGTGTAGAATGCAAGGTTAAATACCTTATCATTCAGTACATCCCTACCCCAGCCCCTGCACCCCAACCCTCAAAACCATTATGCCCCAGACAATGCAAGGTTAAATAACAATTCAATAGCTTCATATGTACAACCCCCCTCCCCCCACCCCCATTCCCCATCATTATACCACACTACCATGGAAGGTTGAATTCCTCTTCTTGTAGTCTACAATGTAAGATTAAATACATTTCATTCAGCAGTTCTCACCTACATGTATCCCCCTGGACTGACAATGAACAAAGCTTAAATCTTGTAAACCCAGAAACTTTTCACAACATCAAACTTTCACCAATTGCAAAGAGTTTAGTGTTGTGTCACAAATGTGAACTACATGCCAAATTTGGAATTTTTATTCTCCATGAATATACAGTCAAACTTGCTTTAGTGACCACCTGTCTACAAAGACCACATGTTTTGTTTCCCTTGAAAATGGTTTCACAATGAAACATGTACTGAAGGAACGAACCTGTCTACAAAGACCACTTTTTTGTGTATCCCTTTGGCGGTCGCTATAGACAGGTTTGACTGTAGCTTCTTCAATATAATTCATGCCCTGCTGGCTCCCAGCAGACCTTCAAATACATGTACATTCATGAATGTCCATGAAGTTTCACCTCTGACCTAACATAGTTGAATGGTATGATTCAAGTTCAGATATACCTGGCGGCCTCTATACCCCCCTCACAGCACGTCTGTGAAAGATAAATCAAGCAAGGAGACATGCTCCATTGACGAGCCCGTACTTGTTAAAATGCAACCACTCAGCATGGAAATGTCACCTAGCCTTGTGGAACAGACTCATGAACACCTAAGAGGAACTAATTAAAGATATCCAATAGATTAATCCCAATTCATCTTCTCTAGATGTACAACATGTAGAAGTAGTAACTACAAACTATGGGAGACAGAAATCAGGGACACCATAAAAAGAGTAATTGTGGAGAAAATGTGATGATTTTATAGTCGGCAGAACATGCCAACAGGTAAATTATCATAGTAGCCCCATGGTAGGAATCATTATTATATTTTTGGTACAGATACACATTGTCCTGTACATATAGGCTACATAGTCTATGTTAACCAGTACAGGCCATACTTTCTGGTCTAGTTGGAATTATCATAACTCATACATGTAGTCAAAGATTTTGAAAATATGAACATTATACATGTAGTATTTGAAGCTCAGCTATGAAAGGTCACAGTAACAAATTTGGTACTGTGAAAAAATATATTTACCAACATTAAATGTCAATCTATGTTTTTTATTAAAAGCTCATCTCAAACAGCTCAAATTTTGTATGATCATATGGGTGAAATCTGAAGGCAAGACCTTCATTAATTCAATATTCTCCTCCTTTTAAAACATGGCTGGGACGCAGAAGCCATGCAGAAACACTTACGGACAGGAATGTGATCTTAA